CTCAACTTAGATCCCACATAAATAATATGTTCAGGCTCCTCATTGAGCTGGACTAGTTCTAGCTCTTCTGACGGTATAGGCCTGGTGTCCAGCTTGTCCCTCATGTCAAGCTCATCTAGCTGGATAGTTCAACCTCTTTCTGCTTCATTGCGGCCATGTAGCACTCCCTGGTTATTCGCTGGTCTCCTTGGATCATTCCAACTCTATTTTTTGTAGGAAATTTTACAACAAGGTGATATGCTGAGGGGATAGCCTTCATTGCGTTGAGGGATGGTCTCCTAAGTAATATATTATACGCAGAAGGGGCGTCAACTACCAGAAATTTCACCGTGGTGGTGGCTTGACAAGGAGGGTCCCCCATAGTGAGCACAAGTTGGATGGATTCCAGGGGTAGCACCTTCTCCCCTGAAAACCCCATCAAGTGAGCATTCACTGGCTCAAGCTTCTCCCTTCCTACGCCCATTTTGTCAAAGGCAGAGGCAAAAATGATGTTGGCCGAGCTCCCATTGTCAATTAGAACTTGATGAACAGTTTGATTTGCCACAATGGCCCTTACGACCAATGGGTCATCATGGGGATACTGACAGCCTTCCAAGTCTGGATCCGAGAAAGTGATGGTTGTGCTCAGCCGAGGTATTTTGGACACGGTGTGTACTTTGAGCGCTTCGCTAGCTCTAATCTTGCGCAGGTGTGCTTTCCTTGCTGCATTGGATTCTCCACCGCCAGCAAATCCTCCAGATATCACTCTGATCTCCCCTAAGGGTTGTTGGTGCTATGCAGAGGCTTGTTGCTGGGGTGCCGGTGGTGATGGAGCCCTGTTTTGGTTATCATGGGATGACAAATCATCGTAACTATCCCCTCTGGATCAAGAACTTGATCCCTTTCTTTAGTTGGATGCAATCGTCGGTATGATGGTCATGATCCCTATGATATTCACAATATTTAGTAGGATCTCTTTTAGATGAATCTGTTTTCATTTATGGAGGCCATCTTAGGAATTTTTCGTTCTGCACCTCATATAGGATCTGTGACACTGTTGTAGTGAGAGGGGTATATTGCTGAGGTGTGTACCTCGGCTATAGTTCAGGCTGCAGGGGGCCTAAGCGGTTCCTAACGTTCCCCCTTCTTTTTGGGGATCGCTGTTTATTTCTTCTGGGAGATCTATCTCTCTTTAGAGATCTGTTTCTTTTCCTCTCTCTCCTAGGACTTCAGTTCCTCTTTTTTTCTTCCTTTCCCTTGTCTTTATGTGCGGAAGAGCTCCCTACCTTAGAAAGAAGAACTTCTTCGCCGTTTATGTATTTCTCCGCTTTGGCAAGCACCTCGGTCATGCTTATTTGGAGATTTTTTGATATGGAGAACATCAAATCTTTAAACTACACCCCTAGACTAGCTATAAAGGCAGTGATGACGAACTTTTTATCTGGGACATCCACCTTTAACGACTCCAAATTAAATCTTTGGACATACGACCTGAGGTTTTCTTGTGGTCCCTGTTTCATATTCAAAAGGTGATAGCTCGGCTTTCTATAGGTTCGAGCCCCTATGAAGTGATATGCAAAGGAAATGAAAAGCTCTTTGAAGGAAGAGATTGAGGGCGGGGGGAGCCTGTTAAACCACGCCAAGGCTGAACTCTTCAAAGTGATGGCAAAGGCTCAACAGCGTACGATGTCCTAGTACCCGTGCAATTTCATCTAGTTCTTATAAGTATTGAGGTGGTCCATAGGGTCCCTGGTTCCATCAAATGACTCTATCTATGACATCCTGAACTTTGGTGGGAGAGAAAAATGCAACACCCTAGGCGTGAATGGAGATTCAGTTTGTTGCACCAAGACATCCATTGTAACTGGAGATTTATTTCTGACCGCTTCCTTTATGTGGCTGAGCTCCTGTTGGATGCCCTAGAAACGTTGCTCCCAATATTGCTCCCTTCTCTCCTACTAATAAGGGAAGACATCATTCTTTTCACCTTCATGATTTTGACTTTGTACTTCCTCATTGTGGTCGTTCCTAGGGGGTAGTTAGGGAACCTGCCCCAAGGTCTAATTATTCTCCCCCCTTCGTTGTCTTCTCTAAGTGGATCAAGATGTTGTTGATCCCTGTAGTGGGGACTGTTCTGACCTTCTTAGGGCGGACATGCCTCTTATGGGCGCTGTAAGAACTTCAAGAGCTCCTCATTTTGCTTTATCAAGCACTGATTGATGAGGCAAAGGGCCTCCATCTCATTATTTGTGGGGGGATTCCCTATGAGAGGATCAATCTCTGGGACGTTCTCGGGCTGTCTGCCATTGGTGGCTCCTTGTTGGTCCTACATCCGAGATGAGTTTGTTTGGCTTCTGCTCATGTTTCGTGTTGACACCATTAAACCCTGAAAGATCAGCTTATTTGTAACAAGAACAGTCATTCCCACAGACGGTGCCAAACTGGTGGTGTAAATTAACGAGGATGAGCAAAAGGTATAGGGGACGGGGGACGTGTGATGAACGTGAATCAGAGCTACGTGGCTTGTGTGTGATGCTGCAGTGAAATACTGAGGGGATTAAAGGGGTGTACACAGTAAAAATATAGTGGTTCACCAGCTCAGGAGCTCGGCTAGTCCACTCTTCAATGAAGGTTCTTGCTCCCTCTCGTCTATTCCATATTGATATGTATTACAATACGGTATATCTCGAAATTAGGGTTTTTTTCTCATCTCCCTCTATGGAGGCGTTGCATAGTATTTATAAGGCTGCCACTTATTCTGTGGAATTTCAGCCGAGATCTTTACCCATTATTCATGGGATCTTCTTTGATTTCAGGAGAGAATCTTGGTTGGTTGAGAGTTTCATGCATGAGGCCCAATCTTCGCAGTTATCCCGCTGTTTCTTGGTTGGTTCAGCTACGATCTTCCCAAGAGGAGCTCCACCCTTGGTTCTTTGAGTTCCTCGTGTCTTTCCCGACCTCCTGACCTGATCTCCTGACCCGAGCTCACAACTAAGACTTGTTGAGTCGCGAGAAGCTCAAAAGAAACAATTTAGCTACTTTATTACATAAATATTTAAATTTTAATATATTAATATTTCAATAGAGTATAGTGTAATCTATTATAATAAATTTTAATAATTCTATCATAAAACTAAGTTAAAAGCCAAGCATACATAATTTGCTAAAATTCGATTTAAATTTAACCCGTCATATCTTACGTACAAGCTTTTATATCTAAACAACTTAATATTGACGTAATTTACCTTCCCTTGAGGTCATAAACAAATAAACAAACCAACATTTGATGAAGAGAAGGGTTAAAATAGGTAAATACCATGGAAAACAGACTGCATGTTTGACACGTGTATATAAAAATATTTAATCCAGAAAATTTAGCCGAATGAGTAGTATCCAGCTAGTATGGAAAACTGATCCAAATTTTATCTATTTACTTTTGGAAGACTAATATGGTATGAAATTTCAGATTTATCACGACGACGCTGTAAGCTATATGTAAACTGGGTCGCGGACTGTTTGGCTAACATCACCATTACACTCTGTAAGAGCAACTCCAAAATCCTACCTAATTTGAAGAGTCCTCTAAAATTTCTCTCTAAAGGACTATCTATCTAACAACGGCAAGCTATATCCTAGCTATGTTGAAGAGTCCCTCCCTAAAATTTCTCTACAAAGCGCTATCTATACCACATTTGCTAGCTATTCGTTTTTGCGCTAATCGTTTTCTTTATCAGCGACAGCAGCTCCTCTCAACGTCTTCACACAACAGAGGCTTCAACGTCTTCACGGCGGCTGGTGGTGGCTGCATCTTCTTCTTCCAAGGCTTCATCACCCAGGTATGGAGTTTTCTCTCTCTCTCTCTCTGTCTCTATGTGTATATATACCACCGAATCCCACCGAAACCCCACCGAAACCCATCGAAATCCATCTCTCTCTCTCTCTCTCTCTCTCTCGGTTCCCACTTGAACTTCTGAATTAGGGATTTGAAATTACTGATTTTTTAGGGATTTGAAATTTCTGTTTTGTTGAACATAGTTTGCTGTATATTGTTTTGTTGGATATGTTCATGGCCTATATACTGTTTTGTTGGACATGATTCATGGACTTAATGTGTTATTAAAGACCTCCCAGAAGGAAGATTTTTCCAAACTACATATCCGCAACAATTTAAGCCATTTCTAGCAGTCGTTTAATTAGTAAGAGGAATACTGGAAAACCCAATTTGTATATTTACTTGAATCTGTATATTTTATTTTGTTTTCATGGGTTTAAGGGTTGTGCTTTAGAGCATTCAATGGTTGGTGTCTTGTTTTTTGATGCTGTAATCCGTGAATCTTGGAGGCAGATTCTTGATGGAATGGTTTTCATGTTTTAATACAGCTTTTTTTCGGTAATATTTTCTTTTGTTTATTTATGATTTTTTATTTGATTGCTTGATTTTCTTAGGTATTGAAGTTTAATCAATAGGACGAAACAAACATGGGAAACATGTAATTATGGGGATATTGTTGTGATTGATTTAGAGGTTCTGCCAAATTTTCTAGTTGGGTGTTCTAAGCTTCAGCTATGTTTGCAAATTATCTATTAGCATACATTAGATGAATTTATCTGTTAAAATTGAGGGGCAATATTGTTAAGTAAATATAACTTTACACTTTTAAGATATTACCACCAAACACAGTTTTATTTATAGATACACTTCTTAATTTAAAAGCACTTTGACTCTGTTCTCCGTCACTGATTAATATTTAATTGTTTCTTGATTTGCCAACACCATAGTAGAGAAGATATTTTGAAACTATCCCGGTACTATGCAAAATTTCCATTGTACTTCTATTCCATATGTAATTTGATTGATTGTAATTTTTTGTTGTGTGAAACCTTTTTGGCAAGCTAATTTTCTAATTTGAATATCTATAAATTAAGTACTGATCAATATTTCGAAGAAAAAAAATTAGGATGAAATAGTAGAGTTTATATGATTCCAGTTATTCATGGTTCTGAACTTATGATTTATATAGGCTAATGTGATTATGCGTATGACCGACGTCAAATTTAATGCAATATATCATATGTTTCCCTATATTTCAGTTGTCTAATGTGTGAGTTTTTTGGTCAGTGTCTAGTGTGTGATTGAATTTTGTTCCTTTTGTCTTTTGGTTGCAGAGACACTTTGCTTGAGATGATAAAATGAAGGCTGGGAACTTCTGGTTCTTTCTTCTATGTTTATGTGTTGTCTCTTTTACTGCGGTAATTAAGCTCTCTTTGCTCATTTTAATAAGCATTTATGTGTATATATACAGCCAAAGTGTTTATGCGTTAATTTATCTTCCATACAGATTTCTGTGGGTCCACCAACTTGTCCTGCAGATATTGGTAGTGAATGTGGCGTTGGTACGGGTGAATGGAAAGGGGAATTCTTTTCTGGCATTCCCAAGATTAAGTATGAGGTAAAAGCCATCTTGGAAAATGAAAACATGAGATGCATGTTAGATAAATTGCTTCATCGACATTCAATGTTTTTTATTTAAGTTTGTGCAACTCCAAAAGTGTGCTGTTTCTTTCGTATGTTAGGGCCCTTCTAGCAAGGACCCACTTGCATTTAAATGGTACAATGCTCAAGAGGAGATTCTTGGGAAGAAAATGAAGGTTTGTGTTTGATTTTTCTAGTTGTTTTTTTTTTAATGTAATTTTTAAAAAGGATGGTTAACAAAAAGAATTTGTCATTCACCATAGGATTGGATGAGATTCAGTGTTGCGTTTTGGCACACATTCCGTGGGACAGGAGGTGACCCATTTGGTGCAGCTACAAAGTTGTGGCCTTGGGAAGATGGTACCAATTCATTGGACATGGCCAAGAGGAGGAGTAAGAAGAACCTAAATTACCCATGTTTCACTAGTTCTTCTGATTTTTTGAGATTTGAAACTAAGCTTGTTTCATACAAATTGATGATATGCAGTGAGAGCAAACTTTGAGTTTTTAGAAAAGCTTGGAGTAGACAGATGGTGCTTCCATGATAGAGACATTGCTCCCGATGGTGACACAATAGAGGTAAATAGAAAGGAGACAAATCTGTTGCTAAATTGTTGAATGCCTCAAAAGTAGAACCATATGTTAAAAATTTCTTAGTTTTGTTCCCCTTAATAGACGGTGGTATACCTGGCTATAAGGTGGTGGTTTTTGATTATTTTTTGATGCGATAGGATGATTGCCAATTTTACTATACACAAATTGATACTAGTTTATTTTATTTGGCACAGGAAGCTAATGCAAATTTGGATGAAGTGGTGGCTCTTGCCAAAGAGCTTCAGGTAATATCCACTGGCAAAGAGCCAGCTAAAGCTGGAATATTTTCTGACAAAAAAGTGTGATATGTTTTATCCTTAAATCTATATACAAGTGAGGAACATGAGCCTGTGGTCTTTGTTTCAAGGCTCAACTGACAACTTTACACACAAAGGACTCGTTCCAAAAAGTTGTGGGGTTTTGTCCATTACTCTCTAATTCCATTTCTTTTATTCTTACTATTTGATTTCACTGTTCAGGGGACCAAGATTCGTCCTTTGTGGGGTACAGCTCAGTTGTTCTTGCATCCTCGTTACATGCATGGTGCTGCTACTAGGTACGTTATGCTTCAAAGTTCAATCTAGGTTGGATGTGATTAATCCTTTCATATCCTGTGATTATGGACTCATACTTCCTGTTCTTGCCTTGCAGCCCTGAATTAGGAGTATATGCACACGCTGCAGCTCAGGTCAAGAAAGCCATGGAGGTGGGTTGTTAGTACATGCAATTCTAGTGACATAAAATGACTGGTTGTCAAGCACAAATAACTTAGTTCTATAAGGTCATGTATCTATCCAACATTGAGTGTGCTAATTTACACATTTTACAGGTCACACATTATCTGGGGGGAGAAAACTATGTCTTCTGGGGTGGTCGGGAGGGTTATCAGACTCTCTTGAACACAGATATGGAAAGAGAGCTTGATCACATGGTAGGATTACTAAAGTTCTGAGTAGATTTTAAATTATGCCATGCCTTCAGCATAACCTTTTTGTCTGCATGTTTTATACTTTCCTTCCTTAGTTAGGACTTGTGTTTCCCTTCCTTCTCTTTTCTTTTCTTGTCATTTTGTCATGAAGCTAACTGTTTACCCAGGATTGTGGAAGGATTTGTTTACTGAGGCTTCAATTCTATTCAGGCGATTGGTCTTAGTCGACTATGTCCTTAAACATGTTTTGCTTTATTTTTTCGTCTCTCAGGCAAGGTTTTTTGAAGCTGCTGTAGCCTACAAGAAGAAGATTGGATTTAATGGTACTTCTGTATTTAATTTTGTAAAGCACTACCGTAATAGTTTTTTGGAACTGTAGGTAACCTAAAAATCACATCATCTAAATCAAGATTCATCATTTTGGAACCTTTTGGTAGGATTTAATTATATGTCTGTCCATTGAGTCCTTGTGACTCATCGTTGTTCAACAATATTGCTCTTATCGCTTGACCAGAACTTTTAATCAGAAATAATTTTCTCTTCTGTGGTTCTCTCCAGGGACACTCCTCATTGAACCCAAGCCTCAAGAACCTACCAAACACCAGTATGTTTCTTTACAACCTTTTAATCAGAATAAATCATCATTCATAATTTGCTGCATGTCTTACATTTATCAATGATGACAGATATGATTGGGATGCTGCAACTTCAGCTAATTTCTTGCGCAAATATGGCCTCATAGGTGATCTATGAAATCCATTGTCCTCAAGTCTCTCACTTATTCAGTTATTTGTAACTTTGTGTTACCTTGTTGCATTCAAATTCCTCGGTACAAAAATTAATTTAGTAAGAAATTCCTCAGAGCAAGCATTGGGTTGTGCTATCTACCATTTTATTTTTGTTTGTTCTTTGTAACAGTTGACTATCTTTGACATGGTTTAAGATTGCAGTATCGGTCATCGACTCGGAGGGCACTGATACACATTGGTCGTGGTATCCCGGTATGGTATCGGCCGATACGCAAAAAATACTACACAGAAAGCTCAAAAAATTTTGAAAAAAATTATGAAATTTTTAAAAAAAATATAAATAATAAACATCCATGCATCATTTGTACAAAAAATATCATCAAATATTAAACTATATTAAAAATAAATTAGAAGGGCACTATCGGTAATATAATCCATAATTAGTTTTCAATTTATGCATTTTAAAAAATAAAACTCATAGATAGTTCAGATATATATATATATATATATATATATATATATATATATATTTATCCCATTTTTTAATTTTTGTCTAATTTATTTAAATATATTAAGAAAGATAGTCATCAAAGAGTCTTAAAAGACCCATTGCCAACAGTCTTAAAGACTCAATAAAGTTGGCGTCTTTCAAACGCTTTAACATTGCCTACTCCATGCAAAGTGGAATCTATTACCAAAATACGGGCCTTTTAAAACTTTAATACCAATTTACAACTGTTTTGAACTTATTTACTAATCTAAGACACTTTTGAAAAGCGGAATCAACAAATCCGAGTTCCTATGAAAGCGGAATCAACAAATATGACTTCATATGGTAAAGCGGAATCAACAAATCTGTTTTTATTATTGAAAGCGTATTTATGAAATCCGCTTTTACTTGAATAACAAATGCGTTTTCAAACAGAAAGCGTATTTTGCAAGACCGCTTTATCAAATAAAGCGGATATAATAAACTCGCTTTCATTCGAATATTTCTTCTCTCACCAGCCCCCTTTCTACTATTTCACAAGTTTCTCCTCTTTCCTCTCTCCTCTCTTCTCTTTGTGGAAGGCGAATACTTACCTTTGTCTCTCTTCTTCTCTCTTTGCTTTCGCCATCCCCTAAGTTCAGCCCTTAAAATGCACACCCCCTAATTGAGAAAATTCAATCTTAGCCCTAAGCTTGTTCGAAGAATACAACTAAGGTCTTCTGCAAGAATTGGCTGTGGGATTCGCCTGAGGTTCCTGTAGAGCCCTAATTCTAGCTATGAGAATCTTAATAGGCTCTAGGTTACTCAATGTTTTGTCAAATTGTGTGGTGGACTAGTACACACCTGTGGGCTACGTCTGAAGTAAGGAGAAGACAGGGCTTCACGTGTTGAACATAAAGTATTCTATTTAACTAGGCACGCTACAATTGACTCTGCAATTCAGGAAATTCCCAATTTTTGAAAAATTTTCTCCATTGCCCAATTTCCTTCACTGTCAAATTCGGATATCCCTAACTGTAACTCAAACAAATCCCATTACTGTGTGTTTCAAAAATTCCCAATTTTATAAAATCTTCAGTCCCCATTACTGCTTCGAGTAAGTTGAACTGCATCCTTACTTCAGAAATTTACAGTGTGAAGGTACATTAAATTTTTGAATTTTATTCAAAATATCCTAATGTATGTTGAATGCTATTTTTTGGACTAAATTATGTCTTTTGTGTATTACGAATATTGGTGTTTGCTTACTGAATGTGTAATTTAGTTGAAGGTGTTATGAAATTTACATTGTGAAGGATATTGGCCTTTGTATTAGGAAATTTGTGAAAGTTAGTTTGACCCTTGCCATTTACTTGTTTGACAATGTTAGAAATATTGATAGTGACAATGAATTTGTTTGAGCCTTTCTATTTACAGATGTGAAATTCATAACATAACTAAAAAGACGGGAATTAGAATGATTTTATGCTGTCTGTAACATGGCAAAGGGTTTGAATTTAGGTTGCACTGTAAATTTATTGAAATGTAAATTGATGGTCTTTGCCTCATCACTTTGCTTTTGTTACTAACCTTTCAAGTTTCGTGTGTTCTAGATAATCCAAACTAGCCGTGTTAAGGTAGACAAGAAGATTCGAACCCACCTGCTCAGTCAAAGAGGGACCCAAATTAATGGGGTTAGAGAGAGACCAAAATTAATGTTGTCTGAGATGGTAAACAAGGATATGACTACATGTTGCTTATAAAAAAGATGTTCCTAGACAGAGTATAATGGCATAATGAGCTTCATGTAACCTGTCCCTAATAGTTGAAACATGATTTTCTTGAGTTTGAGTTGTATATGACCAGATTAATGAGGGTATCCATCCATTTAGGAAATAGAGAAACAAATATAAATGATGAGAACTAGGGTTATGTTGTAATGTTAATAGGCTGCTTATGATTGACACTAGAAAAAATGGAAAATATGAGATTCTTTATTGAGTTTTATATTAAAAAAGGTGGTAATCAGTTAGAAAAGGAAAAATTGACAGAATAAGGTAATGAAAAGTTATATATGCAACAAGCAAAAAAGAAAATTCCAAAGAAATTGAAGGACAGAGGCTAATAGCTTTGTTGCCTTTGTGGGATCAGATGAATAAAAGAAGATGATGTCACTTTAAAATATGTCATGCAACCCAATCTAGTAATTTAAATATGAAAATTATTTGATATTATATTTTATATTGAAGGTATAATATGTTGAGAAGACTCGCTATAGTAATGTGCTATTGGGGGGGTAATATTATATACAATAAATG